ATAATAAGATTCCAGTGACATTGTGGTAGGTTTTAGAGAATGATTTCCAAGGAAAAGGCACACTGAAACCCCAACTATGGGAAATATTCGTGTTTTTTTCTCTTTGACTCTGCTTCTACTGTAAGTGCTGTGTCTCCAGAGAGAAAAGAAAGGAAAAGAGATTTTCTTTCCTTTCACTATTTCCTTTTTTTTTTTTCAGAGTTTTTTTTTTTCTTGGACTAGCATTAACATAATCAGAAGAAAACTTTCAAATGTAACTGAGATAAATAAATGCTTTCACAAAATAGACCTCCACCTGCAAGTGGAATTCTCTACCAGGTTTTTAACACCACCCCCCACACTTGCACGGCTTCATTTACCTGCCTACCCACCCGGAGCACATAGTCAATGATAGCAGTGTCTTGGCCTTTGCCCTTGATGCTTCTCCCGTTGGGCCCTCCACTGTACCCCTCACACTTTTCTTTTCTTTTTTACACTATTTTCTGACCCCTCACATTGTTGTATTAATGGGGGGGGGGACAAAAATTACATGTTAAGGACTTAAATAAAAAATGTAAGTATATCAATCACATAAATGTAATTCAAATGTATTTACTGATAAATATGATTTTTGTCATTATACAAATTTATCAACTACAAATCACTTCTTGTCCCAGAAAAATAATACAGCTTTAGCCTCAGTTGAGTTTATTTGCTGTTACAAAGAAAAGAGAGGAAAATTTTTGAACATCCATAAAAAGCTGGAAATGAGTGGCCGCAAGTGCATATAAGATCGTGGCAAAGTTTGGAATTTTGGTATTTTGCTCTGTAGAATTAAATACCTTCATGTCTTTCATATTTTGATATCGGTTAGTTTTGTTCTGACTGCTCAGCTTTTTCAAATCCAGCTTAAGAGTACCTTTTTAAAGAACTCTTACGTGCTGAAGAAACCTACTGACACTGATCATGTAGCATTTAGTCATTTAGGGACATACATACATTTTACATTTGCTTAGGGAGAAAAGGAGCAAAACAAACAAGCAAAAAATTTAAATCATGAAAGATGAGTGGCACATAAATTGTCAAAATTCTTAGGAAGGAATTCTGGTTCTTAAATGTTGAGAGCATCAGATAGTCATTTCCCTGACAAAATTTAACAAGGAAAATATCAACTTAAAAGATGAGCAGACATTTGGCACAACAGCTGATTTGCCTGTTGGGACTCCTACATCCCATATAGGAGTATCTGGTTTTAGTACTAGCTCTCCACTTCTAATCCAGCTTCCTGCTAATACCATATACCTCGGGGGTAAGTTAATGACTCAAGCAGTAGGGTCCCTGCCACCCACTTGGGAGACCAGCTGGAGTTCTAGGCTTCAGGCTTCAGCCTGGTCCAATCCCTGGCCATTATAAGTAGAGAGGAAGTGACCGTCTCTCCCTCTCTGCCTGTCATATAAAATGAAGCTTTAAAGGAAAAGAAAAAAATCCAATGCAGAAATTTTTGTGGCATTGTTCATACTGTCAAAAAATTCTCTAGAAATTGATAAAATTGTAATTGTCTGATACTGTTGGCAGTTTAATAAGATGATGGCGCATTAGCTGGCTGTAGACCATTTTATAATCATGAAAAATACAAATTCAAGTACTCAAACATATAATCATGAAAAATACAAATTCAAGTACTCAAACAACCAGTAACAGATGATTCTGATATACAATTATGAAAAAGCATGATATAAAATTATATATAGTACACTAGCAATTAACAGTCTGAAAAGGAAGTTAAGAAAATGTTATTTACAATAGCATCAGAAGAGTAATTACAAATAAATATCCAGACAAAAGACACTCCATGTTCATGAATTGAAGGATTCAATATTGTTAAAATGTCATTGCTATCTAACCAATCTACATAATGTGTGTAATACCTTTCAAAATGCCAGTGGGCCCAGCACAGTGGCTCAGTGGCTAAATCCATGTGTTGCACGCTGCCAGATCCCATATGGACATTAGTTCGTATCCCAGCAACTCTACTTCCCATGCAGCTCCATGCCTGTAGCCTGGAAAAGCAGTGGAGGACGGCCCAAAGCTTTGGGACGCTGCACCCGCTTGGGAGACCTGGAAGAAGTTCCTGGCTCCTGGCTTTAGATTGGCTCAGCTGTGGCCATTGTGGCCACTTTGGGCATGAACCAGCAGATGGAAGATCTTCCTCTCTGTCTTTCCTTCTCTTTGTAAATCTGCCTTTCCAATAAAAATAAATCTAAGGGGGAAATTCCAGTGACATTGTTACAGAAATAGAAAACCACATCCTAAAGTTTAAATGGAATTTTAAGAGATCCTGAATGGGAAAACAGTTTTAAGAAGGAGAGAGCCATTTGGGAACTCACACATCCTGAATTCAGCACTTATTACCAAGCTACAGTCATCAAAACAGTATGTTACTGGCATAGGTTCAACAAACAAGAATATGTGTACCAGTGGCATAGAATCGAGAGCCCAGAAATAAACACAGGGGGAAAATGCCGATGCTTTCAATACTGGAGGATAGTCAACTGAGTATTGATCTCTATGCAAAATAAAGTTGAACCCATCTTACAGCATGTATGAATGGAACGGCGTAACTGGCTCCTCCACCTGCAGTGCCTGCATCCTACATGGGCGCTGATTCGAGTCCAAATACTCCAGTGCGTTTCAGCTCTCTGTTAAGTGCCTGGAAAGCAGTGGAGGATGGCTAAAGTCTGTGAGCTCTGCACCCATATAGGAGACCTGGAAGACATTCCTGGGTCCTGGCTTCAGATCAACTCATCTCTGGCTGTTGCAGCCATTTGGAAAATGAACAGAGGATGGAAGACCTTTCCATCTCTTCTCTTGTGTAAATATGCCTTTCAAATAAAAATAAATAAACCTGTTTTTAAAAAATGGATCAGATTTGAATGGCAGGCCATGAGGGCTACCAGTATGTGCGCCAGTCAGGGACATATGCTCAGACTCCCTGGACGACATGGACTCGCACGTGCACTACACCGAAAACAAGGTCCCCAAGCACGACTGCAACTAACCTTGCATGAATTCCTTGGGCTTTGGCCTGGGGGAAGACCCCCAAAGGGCAGGGGGCAATGTGTTCACGATGCAGCCCTTCCAGGGCAGGTCCCGACAGCAACAGAAAGATGGGGAGTGCTCCCAGTGTGCATACTGCGGTGACATGTTCAACCACCAGAAGAACCCGAGGGGCCAGTGAGGACACTCCCAGCTCTGTGAGAACCTACATCCTCAGCATGCGCTGCATGTGGTGTGCAAACAGCAGGCTGTATCACTGTGTGTCAGACCCCAAGGCGGGGCTCCACAGACCCCAGCGACACCAGCAGTGAATTTTGCCTGTGATGACTCTTACTGCCTAGTCTTTCTTGGCCACTTGTATGTGCTATTACCTGCTCCTTCAGACCACTAAGTGCTGTGCATAGGCACTATGGGGGGCAAGCAAAAGTGCCGTGTGACCCAGCACTACCTCCTCACCTGTTCCAATTCTCAGGCGCCTGTAGTGGGTACCACCAAATTGGAGTGAATTTTTCGGACCCCCATCATCTTCTTTGCTCCAAAGTAGGTTCCTGCGGGAAAGGGATGTATTCTAGCCTGCAGGCAGTGATTAAGGACAGAGGTGAGCTGGTTCACAAATGTGTGCCACCACGTACCCCTGTTCACTCCTGTGAAGCCAAAAATCCCAACACTGCAATTTCTTCAGTCCATCTTCATTTTTTGTTGACCTTAATGGGACATGGCAGCCAGCTCATCTGAGCCAGCAGAGGAAATGGAGTATCTCATCAGAAGATGGAAAGAATAGGCTGGATCCATCTCCTGGCAGAGCTTTGCAACATGTTCCTACCTGTGGATGCACCAAAGTGGACTTGGTCAGCCAACAGAGCTTGGAAAGATTTTCTCAGCTCTACTACAACTAAGCTGAAAACGTGCCTGAACTATCAATACCACCGAAGTAACACAATGGGAGCCCTCTTCCCCGTATCACGGTGTGTAACGTGTCATCAAATGATGCCTGCCATCCACAGGTGCTAATGCAGTTTGACTGTAAGGAGTAGCCCCTTCTTTCCCCCTTCTTTGGAGAAAGGAAAGGAAAAAAATTTGAAACGTTTGTCCTAGTTACTTTCCTCCATGTCTCAACCCTTCCCACCCTTATCAGAGGCCTACGTAACTATGTAAACAATATTAAGAACAAAATAAAATAGCATATTATACACAACGATTCAGAGTAATAAATTATGTATTTTTAGCACAAAATTATATGAAGAAACAGAAAATTTGCGATGATTATGTAATTTGTGGTAGAAATAAAACAAAAAAACTTCATTTCTCACTGCAGTTTTTATTAGTAAATATTTAATGTTGTATAGCTTCTCAAGCCATCAAATCATAGAAAAATTTAGATGTCCATTCTCAAAAAATTTTTTAAGATTTATTTATTTTTATTACAAAGTCAGATATACAGAGAGGAGGAGAGACAGAGAGGAAGATCTTCCGTCTAATGATTCACTCCCCAAGTGAGCGCAGCGGCCGGTGCTATGCCAATCCGAAGCCAGGAGCCAGGAACTTCCTCTAGGTCTCCCGCATAGGTGCAGGATCCCAAAGCATTGGTCCATCCTCAACTGCTCTTCCAGGCCACAAGCAGGGAGCTGGATGGGAAGCGGAGCTGGCAGGATTGGAACCGGCGCCCATATGGGATCCTGGCAGGTTCAAGGCAAGGGCTTTAGCCACTAGGCCATGCAACCAGACCCATTCTCAAAATTTGTAATCTAAATATTTATAAATCATCTTCTCTGGTTAGACTCATTCTTACTAAGAATCACTATATTGATTAATCATTTTTAAAATCTTCAAATTTTCCACAAAAACACTTTTTAGAATAATTCATGTCGAAAGTGTTGGTATCTGTATTTGTGCTGGGACCTCTTGAGTGTCTTTAGTTGTTATCACACATTTTCTGGATTTTAATGAGACATGTGTTTCTTTAGCTTGACAGGGCCAATGCGCTGTTGAACCAGGCTCAGCAGCCTTACAGGTATCTCATTGAATCTGTGCGTCAGAGAGATTCCAAGATCGACTCACTGACGAAGTGCATAGCAGAACTTGAAAAAAATGTCAGGTAAATCATCTATGAATCTTTCATTTTTTTAAGTAACAGATCCATTATAATCATAATGCTGTTGTGGAAGACTTCAGAATTGTGAAGAAAAATGTTTAATTTTGAGTGTTAGCCATCTCTTAGGAAAGCTAGGTCATGCTATCACACATTGATATCCATTTTTTAAGGGAGAGCTTGGTTAACAGAAAGGAGGAATGTAGTCAGATGCCTTTTGTAGAGCTAAAATAACCTTAAGCAAAAATAATGTGCACATTTACTTAGATTTGTGTTGATTTTTGCTAAGGAATTTTTAAGCTTACTTTCCTCTAACCTTTAACATGAGGTGACATATGAATTACCTCAATGTAAATAAGTAAATTCCTTTGCTTCCTTAGTTTCAAATTATTTTCTTGAGAAGGTAGCCAAAAGCTTGCTCTACTTAGTCATGCCAATGATTTACTTGTTGTCTATGCAGACATTTTAATTCTTTCAAGTTGAAATAAAATAATTATACTTTATATTTTTTGTTTTATATACTTTTTTAAAGATTTATTTATTTTTGTTGGAAAGTCAGATTTACAGAGTAAAGGAAAGACAGAGAGAAAGATCTTCCATCTGCTGATTCACTCTCCAAGTAGCCACAACAATTAGTGCTAAGCCAATCTGAAGCCAGGAGCCAGGAGCTTCCTCCAGGTCCCCTAAGCGGGTGCAGTGTCCCAAGGCTTTGGGCTGTTCTCTACTGCATTCCCAGGCCACACTCAGGGAGCTGGATGGGAAGTGGAGCTGCCGGGACACAAACCAGCACCTATTTCAGATCCCGAGCATGCAAGGTCCAGGCTACCACACCGGACCCTGTTTTGTGTATTTGAGTGATGTTATGTATTAAACAGTTTCAACTTAGCAGTAATTGGTTAGTTCACTTGATTATTCATTTTTAAGATTATGAGAGTAATTTAAGCTTTGTAAATGAATTTTTTAAGGGTTCATTTGTATTTATTTGGAAGGCAGAGTGACTCAGAGAGGAGAGACAGAAAGAAATCTTCCATCTGCTGATTTCTTTCTGAAATGGCCACAAAGGCTGGGTATGGTCCAAGATTCTAGAACTCAATCTGGGTCTCCCATGAGTGACTAAGGCCCCAGTGTGCTCTCCCAAGCTCATTAGTAGGGAGGCAGATAGATTGCAGAGCACCTTGGAATCAAACTGATACGGGATGCTGGTGCTACGGGCAGCAGCTTATCCACGGTACCACATTACTGTACTCAGTGGATAAATCCTTACAACCCGTATAAATGTGCTAAGAAAGGAAATTGTTAAATAAGGAACTAGAAAACAATAAGGAGGGCAGTTAGTAAAAACAGGCTTCTAGAGGTATGCCACTGAAAATATAAAACTATTGTTAATTAACTCCAAAGTTGGAGTTATCTTTTAGATTAATCAGTGAGTGATATTATCATCTCTCATTCCCACTCCACAAAAATATTTGACCCAGAACTTTTAGATCTCAATGTTTTAAATGATTTAATAAAATAATTTAAAAAATTTTTATGGGGCCAGCATTTTAGCCAGGTATATGAGTTAAGCTGCCTCCTGCAAACCTGGGCACCAGTTGAATCCCAGTTGCTCCATTTCCAATCCAACTCCCTGCTAATGGCCTAAGAAGGTGGTCCAAGTGGTTGGGCCTCTAGGCCCACGTGGAGACCCAGACGATCCTGGATCCTGGCTTTGGTCCAGCCCACCCCCAGCTTTTGCTGCCATCTAGGGAATGAACCAGCAAATGGAAGATCTCCCTCTCCGTCTGTGTCTGTCTCTCACTTTGTGTTTGTATTTAACGGTGCCTTTCAAACAGCTAAAATAAATATTTATCAGCAAAAAGAAAGAAAAAATAGCTTAGCTTTAAAATAAATAAAATTGTATTTGTGCTGAAACATCGAAATAGAAGTGGGCATTTGGCCTAGTGGCTAAAACACCATTTAGGGTACTAGTATCCCACATGAGAGTGCCTAGGTGCCACTCCAGCTCAGGCTCCTCTTCCAGCTTCCTGCTAACGCATACCCTGAGAGGCAGCAGTGATGAGTCAGTAACAGCTGGGCTTCTGCCGCTCATGTAGGAAGCTTTGATGGAATTCCCAGTTCTGGTCTCTGGCTTCCCAGTAGTGAACAGAAGGTAAGACCACACTCCCGTCTCTGCCTTCATGTCTCTCAACCTTTCAAAAGATAAATAAATAATGGAAAACTTAAGCATGAGAGTAAGTAACAATAATTTGTTTTTATTAATTGTAGAGTTAAAAAATTATATGCATAGGACATAAAGCCAACATTAATGAATAATCCCAATTAATTGTTCTATATGTAGTTATTGGGGACAATAGAAATTATTTTTTTGTCATTCGTGAGACACATGGTTATCTTAGGGTAATTGAGGAAGCAACTCTGAACAAAACTGTAGTTTTTACGTTTATTATTTTGCAGAGTTGATATATCCAATCTGAGGGAAAAATGACATCTTTCAAATGCTCAAGTAAATTTATTTGAATACTTATTTTACTAAAAGTTAAGATACTGAAAATATTTACAATAGAGAGAAAAAGTAGCTGAGAAGAACTTTGTAAAAATGAAAAAGCTCAGTCCTAGTGATATTAAGCAGTTGGGCCCTCATGAGAGAGCCAAACCTTAGATTCATGTCTGTCTACTTTCTAATCATGCACTCTTAAATATTATGTTATACTGCCTCCCTATGTTTTAGTCTGAATAAGGAATGAGTTAATATAATTAAGGAAAAAAGTAAAAAATTAGTGTAGAACTATGTTGATCATGGCTGAAGTATAATGACAGGCATGTGGGATTTTGTTGTATTTTCTCTCTTTTAAACATTCTTTAAACATTTTTTCAAAGGAAGGACAGACTTTGCAGTTAAGTTTCATGGGTTCAAATCCGCTTAATGCTTAGTTTGGGGCAAGTCGGCATCTGTTCTAAATCGCCATCGTCCTACAGAACTTTCATGTGTTCCATAGTTGTACTGGCTGAATGGTGGCTGCTAGCAAATTACAGCTGTTGAGCATTTGCAGTGTGGCAGTACTACTGATAACTGAATTTTAAATTTTATTTCATGCTGTCCATGCTATTGTGGCCAACATCCGTATTTGCTGGGACAGTGTTCCTTCTTATGGATTGAGTATGGCACTAACAGCTGCTAATTCGTATGGTAGTACTTAGCATTGAATGGTTTGTACTTATACATAGCAGCATGTGTAGACATTATACTCAATAAACATTTGCAATTATTAGTGATTTTTTTCATTGAAAATCATCTTAAAAATGAAAAATACAGGCAAGTGTTCAGTGCCCTGATGGTGGTGTTCTGTTATCAGAGTATGTGATTTTGATCCCAGCTGTTCCACTCCCAGTCTAGTTTCTTGCTAATGCGCACCCGGGAGGCTACAGCCATCCAAGGAGGGGACCTGGATTGAGTTCCATGGCTCTGGTATCATCCTAACCCATCTCTGGCTCATGTTGGCTGATGCTGGTCTGACTCAAAAAGAGAGGATCTCTCTGCCTTGTCTCTCTGCCTTTCAAAGAATATGAAAGTAAATAAATAATAAAAAATTTTAAGGAATTTTTAAAGAGAAGGGGTAACAATAATAATGAATAATTTTTAAAGCTATGCCAAATATGGAATTTACTACCCCCAAAAGCTTTGCTACGTATGTACCTCCTTTAATGATGCTGTTTTGTAGACTTATTGTATATAATTTAATTAAATTTTGGACCATTTCATAGGATATGAAATCATGATTTTAATTGAAGTGTTTATCTTCTAACAAAAATGAATTCATGCGCTTTCTTTCAGTAGTTTAACAGGTTTTTCAGATGTTGCTATAGATGTACTGGTTACATGAATGAAATGCTGTGATATGACAGTGCTATAAAAAAAAAATTTAAAAATCAGGTCAACCAACAACTCAGGCTAAAGCCCAGCATCGTATGCCTAGAGTTTTGTACATGTGCAGTTTTTCACCCCTACTTTGCAAAAAATGGCATGTCAAATTGTGTAGTGAAAAACATCAAGCTGTTTTTTTTTTCTCATGGTAAACATGTCTGTGAAGTTTTTGATGTAAACCTCAAAGGAAAGTTGTGAAAGTTAAATGAAGGGACATATATAAAGTTTCTGACTTGTAGGGAAAACTCATTAACTATCCCTTCTCTTACCTCAATAAATTATGAAACTTTAGCTCCCATAATATAAACTCTTTAAAAACTGAATAATGTTATGTTTTTCTTAGAAAATTAAACAGTTCCATCTTGCCACACTCACCCATTGCAAGTTTAGCCATTTATACAATATACTCAATATCTAGAAAGGTTAGAGTAAGTAAGTATATAGTAAAGAACCATTACGAACATATTCAGAGCTAACGTTTGAAATGTCACTATTAACTACAAATTTCCCCATCATTAAAGTAGTTGTTTTAAACAAGTACTGTGAACTCTCTTCTACCAAGCCACAGGGGACAGTCTGGCTAATACAGGTAGCTTTCTTCCTCAGGGGTGAAGGAAGCATTGCAAGGAATCATTAGCATAAATTTTCTTTCCCTGTTGTCAGTTCTCAGTTTATTCTTAACTAATGGTTAAAGAAGAAAAGACTACATTGTCAGCTTTGCTTGCAAGGCTAAGCCAGAGTATATTGATCCAGGAAGTTAAGGAACAATATATCAGGAATATGTTTTCATATAGCAGGTGAAACAGAGTCATAAACAGGAATTTTCTAAGTAATAATTAACAGTGAACTCAACAATTATTGGTGTAATATACCATTCAAGATAAATGTGCTTATAAGGAGATTTGTTTTGTAGTAGCTTTATGAGTCACGCAGAGAATAGCTTTGTATTTTTAAAGGTAAGTTTCCACTGTTAAGAAATATGTCTTACAAAGACTAGGATTCTGTTGAGTAATTACATACGTATAGCAGTGAATGTACTGAGCATACGCTGTTTTAGAAACCCGCGTGTTGAAGGTGATCTCCCTAAAGAAAGACGACAAAGAAAAATATATGCCGAGATATGCAAATGAGAGAAATAGTGTCTGGGATGTGTACTGTTTGTGGCAAATCAGTGTCCTACACAGAGAACAGAGTTGTTTTGTAAACCAGTTTATTCACCTATTTTCAATTCCATGTAATATGGTGCTTTCACTATTGACTTAAGAATCTTTTTTCTTAAAAACATGTGCACTGCATACAAAGCATTTGTAAAGCATTATCCAGTTAAAATCCTGTAATTACTTCTACATTCCATTCCCATGACACTCTATTTTATTTAATGGATCTGTTGATATTTGAGACACACACAGAGAACACTTGGAAGCACTACTTGTCACTGTGTTTATATACTGTGCAGTCTGTATGAACATGGGCAGGTACTGGACATGAACAGAAGCACATGTATGTTCCTTGCAAGTTCCTATCTCTCAATAGTGTGTTTTTACTTTCATTTTGAAAAAATAATTTATCTTCAAAATGATTGAGCCCAAGACGGATTAGAGTTCTAGAGTTACACAGCTGTGCTTTGGGGAATCTAGCAGAATGTGGCGGTTTCCTCAATACCATTTTGTTCTTTTCAGCCCGTCGGCTCTGTAGGATCCCTGGCGCCTAACTCCAAAAGTCAGTTTGTTTTTCTGCTGAGCTGCCTTACCTTTATTGGCATTTAATTACTGTTTTCCTCTGATGCTTGTTTTTCATCTAAATTAGTAATACCATGTAGCATTTATATCGAGTTTTATGTGTCCGTCACTTTATGTAATCATTCATTAGCTAATTTACATATCCCTTTGGCATATAGGAACGCTCTTTTCCACTTTTACAGAAGTAGAAGCAAGTTCAGTGGCATGTGAATATTCTGCTTTCTGCCATGCAGAGCAGTGGCACAGTAGGAAATGGATGTCAGAATTGCATCTGGGTTTTCTTTTTTGAGGACCAATTCTGATGCTTCCTGGGCAAGTTCTCAGTAGGAAGAAATGTAGACTTTTCCCTCTCAATCCGTGGAATTACCAATTCTTCCAGAATCTTGACCACTGTTCCTTGAATTTAAAAAAGTTCTGCCTAGTATTCTTAAGATTGATGACTCTTCCTTTCCTTATAGCATAACTTAAAGGTGTAGCACATGGTCAGCAAAATAATTTTCATTAAATTTGCACTTACAAATTTTGTCTCAACACTTAGCAAATCAATATTGCTTTATGAATAGTTGTTATGGTGCTGATTTATTGCAGTGGCATTATAATTTGTGTAATTGTTCTAATAGCTTCTCTGTGTGGAAGAATACAAATACATGGCATATTTCAAATATTTATCTTAAGGCATTATTAGCCTATAAGATATTTTTTACCCTTCCTCTCAGAAAATGGGTGATATGCAAGGGAAAGTCACTGTGAAGACTTCAGAAGTGAATACTGAAGAATTTGAAGACAGAAGTCATTTTGCAAGTTTCCCACAGACCAACTATGAGATTTATTTACTTAGCTCAACAATTTAGCATGCTATAAATCGAAAATTGCTGCTTTGAATTTTAAAGATAATTATTTAGCCTCCCAATATCTGTGTTTTAATATTCTACCCATATGTAATTCTTTTGTGGGAGTTCTAATTGATCTTTTTAACATTTCAGGGGTAGTTATCTTTACAGCAGTGATTATTTTAATTGGAAAGTCAGATATACAGAGAGGAGGAGAGACCAAGAGGAAGATCTTTCGTCTATTGATTCACTCCCCAAGCAGCCACAGTTGCCAGAGCTGAGCTGATCAGGAACCAGGAACTTCCTCCAGGTCTCCCACGAGTGTCCCAAGGCTTTGGGCCATCCTCAACTGCTTTCCCAAGCAATAAGCAGGGAGCTGGATGGGAAGCAGGGCTACTGGGATACGAACCAGTACCCATACAGGATCCTGGCACTTATAAAGCAAGGACTTTAGCCTCCAGGCTACTGTGCTAGGCCCTACAGCAGTAATTTTATGTCCTTACTAGGCAGAAAAGTTTTCTCAGAATGTAACCTAGTTACACTATCGAATGATTATTAAAAGGAAAAGGCAGCCAGGCATTTATACTACAGTTAAGAGGTCTGTTTTTCACATCATTATGCCAAAAGTGATTCTGTGCTTGAGCTCTTGACTAGCTTTGCACTAATGCAGACCCTGGAGGCAGCCGTGACAGCTCACATTATTAGGTCTCTGCCGCCCACATGGGAGACCTGGATTGTAATTCTGACTTAGACTTCGTCCCACCACATCCCAGGCCTTGAGGTTATTTGGAGAGTAATGCTGAGAATGGGAGCCCCGTGTTGCATTCTCCCTCTCTGTGCCTCTCAAATAAATATTTTCAAAGGAAAAATATTTCATAAAATTATGGGGGCTGGTTTATACAATATTGGTTTAATCTGTTGCTTCTGCTGCTGCTTCCTTATGGATGCTGCTGCACTTCTGATCCAACTCCTTACTAATATGCCTAGGAAAACAGCAGAAGATAGCCCCAAGTGTTACGACCCTGCCGCCCATATGGGAAACCCAGATGGAGTTCTGGCTCCTGATTCCGACCCTGGCCTTTGTGTTTTTGGGGAAAGAACTAGTGGATGGAAGATCTCTCTCTCTCTCTCTCTCTCACTCTGCCTTTCAAATAAATCAGTAAGTCTGTTTAAAATAATATAAGTAAATATTTTAAAATTTATTTATCTATTTGAAAGTCAGAGTTGGAGAAAGATCTTCCATCTACTGGTTCACTCCCCAGGTGACCACGACGTCCAGGACTGGAGCAGATGTAAGCTGGGAGCTTCTGATGGAATGTCCACATGGCTTCAGGGTCCCACACCGCTTTGGCTGTCTTCCTCTGCTTTTCTAGATGATTTTGCAGCGAGCTAGATCAGAAGAGGAGCAGCCTGGCCTCAGAACGGTGCCATATGAGATGCCACTCTCACAGTCAGCGTTTGTATTTGCTATGCCACAATACTGGCCCTGAGTATTTTTAAAGAATTTCTTCAAAAGGATCCGGCACGATAGCCTAGTGGCGAAAGTCCTTGCTTTGTATATGCCAAGATCCCATATGGGCACCATTTTATATCCTGGCTGCTCCAATTCCTATCCAGCTCCCTGCTTGTGGCCTGGGAAAGCAGTCAAGAATGGCCCAAAGGATTGGGACCCTGCACCCATGTGGGAGACCTAAAATAGACTCCTGGCTCCTAGCTTTGGATTGGCTGAGTTCCAGCTCTTGCAGCCACTTGGAGAGTGAGCCAATGGATAAAAGATCTTTCTCTCTGTCTCTCCTTCTCTGTATAAATCTGCCTTTCCAATAAAAAGAATTAATCAAATCATTTTTTAATAATGTCTTCAAAATAGCTAGGCCATTCGATAAGTAAAACATTACAGTGACTAATTGTGGTATTCTTATGGACAAAAAATATATTTAATTAATACTATCAGGTCTGTGTTTATTCTTTTACTATTTATCAACTGTACACTCGTGTGATAACTTTTTTAAACTTTTTTTTCCAGTAATCTAAATAAAGAAAAGTCTGCTTTGCTACAGATGAAGAACCAAATGGCATTAGATTTGGAACAACTTCTTAATCACCGAGAGGTACTCTTTCCAAACTGTCAGGATTTGGGCTATTTTCAGCTTTGTCACAGTTAGCCTTTAAGATTGCTGTATACTGGTCGTACACGTTCATTCATGACATCTCCCTTTGCCCTTCACTCTCACTCATGCAGTGCCTCTTATTTTGGACCAATATTACTTTGTTCCTTCTTCTGTCACTAACCTTCTGCTTCATTTAATGATTAGCCATTTTCTCTTTCCACCATTAGTCAGCTTTTTTGTGTGTCACAATCTTTTTTTTTTTAAGATTTATTTTATTATTTTTTTAATTGGAAAGGCAGATATATAGAGAAGGAGATACAGAGAGAAAGATTTTTCTGTCCACTGGTTCACTCTCCAAGTGGCCACAAGGGCTGGAGCTGAGCTGATCCAAAGCCCTCATGGGTACAGGGTCCCAAGGGGGCATTCTCCACTGCTTTTCCAAGCCACAGACAAGGAGCTGGATGGGGAGTGGAGCAGCCAGACACCATCCTACACCCATATGGGATCCCAGCCGAGGCAAAGTGAAGATTTGTTTTAAAGATTTTATTTATTTTATTGGAAAGTCAGATATACAGAGAGGAGGAGAGACAGGAAGATCTTCCATCCGATGATTCACTCCCCAAGTGAGCGCAATGGCCAATGCTATGCCAATCCGAAGCCAGGAGCCAGGAACTTCTTCCATGTATCCCACACAGGTGCAGGGTCCCAAGGCTTTGGGTCGTCCTCTACTGCTTTCTCAGGCCACAAGGCCCAACTTCACCCCAGAGGCATCAGTTATATGATGGGTGGAAAGAATAAGGTATACTGGCATAGACTCTAGAAATGACTTCTAGGTGGATAGGGCAGCCCGACAATAAGTGACAGGGCTGGGAAAAGCGTGAATGGAGATATTTTTTCTTTCATCTGTCTTGTAACATTTCAGGCCTTATCAGTTACTACTACTGTCACTCTGTCCTTAGGAGTGCCATCTTCAAATAATTGTTTCTTACTGTGAACACCCGATTTTAGATGTTTTTGAAATTATTTGAGATAGTAGCCGGAAATGACTGCTTAGTTATATCAGCTGTTTTTCCAAAAACATAACAAATATGTTTTTCCAGAATAACAATTATTTGAGTTTAAATGATCATGGATTCAAATGAAAACTGGGATGCTTGGGGCAGGTGTTGTGGAATGATAGGGTAAGCCACCCCATTCAGGTCCCAGGAACTCTGCTTTGCATCTGGCTCTCTGCTAATAAGCATAGGAACCCACAGACGATGGCTCAGTTGTGAGAGTCCCTGCCACCCACGTGGGAGACCCAGTGGAACTTCTGGCTCGTGCCTTCAGTCTGGCCCACCACCAGCTGTGTAGCCGTTGAGGTGCAAACAGCAGCAGGTGGAATATCCCCTTATCTCTCTTTCTCCCTCTCTTTCAGATAAATCTGTTTCAGATTCATCTGTTTCAAAACTGGGAAAACAAAAACTAAAACACCCAATTATTGGATTGAGAAGAAAATATATATAAACATGCAAAGTAATACTAACAAAATGAAGCTATTTATCTAAATTGCCTACTGTCACAGGCCACCAATGAAAATTGTATGGTTGTGTAGTAATAATTGTCAGCCAGTTTTTGTATATTTGACATTATATCTGCATATAGACAATTACATCTTAATAATGCAACATTGGAGCTTTTTATATGGCCAATCATCTGAAGAAAGATTTTTGTTTTCAAAGCAAAGTAAAAATTAAAGCTAAAAACAAGTCTGATCCAAATTTTTTCTTTAGCCCTTTCTAAGAAACTTTGTAATGCCAACTTCTGCAGTGTATGTAGATGCTAAAGCCTCAGCAAACTGCGTATATGGAAAAAGATTTATTGATGACCCCCGGAAATGCTTGGCCATTCATCTGAGAGTATACCTAATGAAAGAGTGGGCAGGATCAGTTTATCCACTGAATGCCTCTTAGGCTCAGGCAGTCAGAATAGCCGATAGATAACAGCTGGATCAGGATAACTCTGATAAATACTTTTTGAAATTGAAAGTCAGGGCTGAGGTATGGGTTGGGAAAGAAAGGCACTTTGGGCACGTACAGTAAAGAGACACCCATTTTCTGGCAGTGTGGAGTGTGGACTGGCACCCGAACCCCTGCCCCCGACTCATTGCACCTGAAGCTGGCTTGCCTCACTTTGGTCAAAACCTTGGGGAAATTAACTAATATGAATCATGATTATAATCAGCTAAATTTTGACAGTGTAACTTAGTTATTCAAAATGAGATCAAATGAACATTATAAAGTTCCTTGTTTTCTTTCTCATGCAGGCTTCTCTAGTTATAGCTCTTTAGGCAGTGTTAGTTCTGATAAGAATATAAATATTTATGAAATATAAAATGAGATCATTAATTCATTTACATAGTCATTAAATATATTAAGCAAAACTAGAGAACAAGCGGGACAATTCTAGATTGACAGTTGTACAACATTTGGGGCAGGGCCACAGAGAGGTGTTATCTTCTGTGTTGGTGCTGGCTCAAATATAGATGCTGAAAAGATTATCTTCCCTCATATTAGTTAAGTTGTGGGTCTAAGGATTTCCAGGAATGGATAGTGAACCTTTGTACTATAAATTTTTCATACTGATACATTAAAAAAATAATCTTGCAGGCCCTAAGGCCAGTACAGTAGATAAAGCTGTGGGCTTTGATGCCAACTTCCAATAATGGAGTGTTCCCTCCAGCCCCAGCTTCTGATTCAGCTCCCTGTTACTACACCTGCAGAAGACAGCCCAAGTTCTTGGGCCTCTGTCACCCATGTCAGGTACTGGATAAAGTTCCTGGCTCCAGGCTTCAACTTGACCAAGCCTTGGCCACTGCAACCTTTTGGGGAAAATTCTGTTTCTCTCTCTCTCTCACTCACTCACCCTCTCTCCCTCTCTCACTCACTCACTAGCTTTCAAATACATAAATCTTTGAAACATAATGATTATGTTGGAATTGAGCAAGGTGTAGGTGATTTTCAGTCCCAACCTTACCTTAGAGAAAATATGTTAGTCTGGGAGCTGGCATTATTTTGTGGCAAGTACCACTGCTACCTGCAACAGCAAGCTGCTCTACTTCCAATCCAGCTCCCTGCTAATACACCTGGGAAAGGCAGCAGAAGATGACCCAAGTACCATGCTTGTGTGAGGCCTGGAAGAAGCTCCTGGCTCCTGGCTTCCCCCTGGCCCAGACCCAGCCATTGCTGCCATTTGGGGAATGAACCAGCAGATAGAAGATCTTTCTTTCCCCCCACCTCTCTGTATTCATCTATATAACACTTTCAAGTAAAGAAAATGTCTTATAAAGTATGTTAGTCTAATAATTTTTTTAAAAGATTTATGTTTTATTTCTATTGGAAAGGCGGATATACAGAGAGGAGAGACAGAGAGGAAGATCTTCCATCCCATGATTCACTCCCCAAGTGAGCGCAACGGCTGATGCTATGCCGAGCCAAAGCCAGGAGCCTCTTCCGGGTCTCCCACGCAGGTGCAGGGTCCCAAAGCCTTGGGCCGTCCTTGACTGCTTTCCCAGGCCACAGGCAGGGAGCCGATGGGAAAAGGGGGCCGCTGGGATTAGAACCGGCACCCATATGGGATCCCGGGCGTGCAAGGCGAGGACCTTAACCACTTTTTAAATTATGTAAAAATAGGAAAAGAGAGTAGGTGTAGAAAGAAGTGCTTTATTTGAAGTTGCAGTTTCAGACCATAAAGTTCAACTGAATTAGATAAATATAGTAAGTTAAGGGACCTGCGCTACAATTATTAGCTGCAAAAAGTTATCAAAGGGCCAGCATAGTATCCTAGTGACAAGTCTTCGCCCTGTGTGCGCCACCAGGATCCCATATGGGCACCAGTTTTTGTCCTGGCTGCTCCACTTCCCTTCAGCTCCTTGATTGTGGCCTGGGAAAGCAGTAGAGGCCTTGGGACCCTGCACCCGCATAGGAGACCTAGAAGAAGCTCTTGGCTTCAAATCAGCTCAGCTCTGGTCATTGCGGCCACTTGAGAGGTGAACCACCAGATGGAAATTTTTGTCTCTCCTCTATTTAAATCTGCCTATCCAAGAAAAATAAATGAATCTTCAAAATGTGATCAGAAGTTGAAGTATCATACTCTGCCACTCCTCTTCTTTCAAAATTCTCTAAATCATGTCCCATATTTAGTGTAATCTTCAAAATGCAGAATGACAGGAAAGACCAAAATGTCTCCACTCCCAGAATTCCTTCCACCCTCAGTTTAATGTCAGATCCTTGGTTTTTATAGAAGATCAAAATGAAATCTGATTTGTTTTACAAAATTGTCTAAGCTAATCTAAGTACTTCTACATATGATAGCATCGCATAAGTTAACCTTTACTAAAGTCACTGATAAAACCTGCATCAAAATGCCACTTGTTATCTAAAAGCAGTATTGATAATAGTTAAGTAACTTAACCAGCAGTGCGTACTATCAAAATTTAAAAAAAATCTCTTTTTTTTTTCCTTAAAAAGGAATGTTATGTTCTTCCACTTAGCCAAAATCTCATGATAAATTATTACCTGCATTAGTTCCAGGAAAAAATTTGCCTCTGTAGATAAACTTACATCCTTCTAAGTGAAAGCTTTGTAATTTAACATGTTTCCTTTCTGTCTTAGTTTCCAGCAAACTCAAGCTGAGTGTCTTACCTGGGTGTTACTATCTTTGCTTTTTCATTTCTGATGCCTCATAAAAATCTTACTGTTTCCTTCAAGTATATTGTAGTTTGTATTACTGTTAAGTGTATCCACTTATACTAGGACTAGGACCTGCAAGTGTAAATAAAATATAAACTTTAAGTAATTAAAGAAAGAAGTAAAAAAAAAAATTAGTAACTGGCATGACCTCATTCTTAGATAACAGTAGAAGGGCTTAAAACCACGCATTCAATTTGAAAAGATTTTGAAAACTAAGAAATCTGATTTCTTATAATGACTTCTTTCATGAGGTCCTGCAGGCACTTTTTA